ATGCAAAACACAAAAGTGAAAGTATTTAACACTTTAAATATTATTCAAAACAACCTCATATACAATTTCATTACCGAATCTGTGAAACATTAACTTGTAGAAATCAATTCTTCTAGTAAAATATGTTTTTTCAATAATACTTACACAATCTTACCAGAACTACTACTATCTTGCAAATATAGCCATCCCTGATTTAAAATGTTTTGCCATAAAGCTAAATGTCATGTTCTTACCTAGGTGGGAGTTAGATAGAGTGATATCCTAAATAGTGCCAAATCACATGAAGTAGTTAATTACTACTGGGGCAGAAGGCATGCTCTCTATGTAGATGCACTGTGGGGATGCTGGGGTAAGTATATACTTTATGAAAATTTATGCTGTGTTCCATCAATTGAAAATTTGCATTGTCAGTTAGATGCGCAACACTTATCCTACAATTATGAACCAAATCATAATCAGAGAATGCATTTGTGAGAAAAAGACATCTGCAGATGCTTGGAACTTGCCTCTTTTGCTACCTGCAAAGTAGTTGGAGCTGATTGTTGAGGATAGTGCCTCACTACACTTGCAGCACTGAGGAGCTAGATCCTGTTACTTCCCTTTGGATGGCAGGGGCTTGATGGCAAGTGACTGGAAATCTCTTGGAAACCAAGATGAACACTGTATGCCAAAAAGTGTTTTGAGGTACTATTTGGGTACTATTGTTCCATAAGGGTGCCTATATAACTGCACATTGCCCACAGGAAGTGCCTGGCAGCACTAGATGGGTTAGTCTGCTCCATGAGAATACCTGTATAGACTGAGCAGTTTCCATAGAAAGTGCTTAGCAGCACTGTGTGGGCTAGTCTAATGTATCACTGGTTTAATGATGTGGTTTCTTGGATATTGTAGCATTAAACTGGGTATCATATGCGGGAAGTGCCTAGCAACACTATGCAAGTCATGGAAATGGACAGATTCATTATATGGTGGCTGATACTGTACATTGTGGCTGATACTGTACATTGTGGCTGATACTGTACATTGTGGCTGATACTGTACATTGTGATCAGAGTTATATGGCCAAGTCTCATTGCAAAGGAACATCACCATCTTGGCTGGCATGATAGTGTCCAGTTGTTATGGCTGAAATGGTAAGTAATTCTGGTATGCAAGACTGTAAATGAAGCTGCTGTTGCTCTCCATCTCACAACCCTTGCATGCAAGCTGATGTTTTTGTCCCTCAAACTATGCTTCTTTGCCTTTTTCTTTGTACCCAAAGAATTCATACCCATTGAGTTCTCTCCATTATGTTCAAGCCCACAATGTATTCAAGGAATGACAGCTAAAGAAAACTATATGTGTGGAAGGGTGGTTAGACTGATCTTGCCCATGGTCTAACTATGTAAAACAAAAAAAAGTAGACCATATACACACATAGCGCAGTGTGTCATGATTATAACCTTTGATTGTCCATGCAGAATTACCCACATCATCAGCAATAGGAAGAACAGAAAAGTTGGAAATGTACTGACAGAGTATACTTCCCTTAAAAGTTGAAACTCTAACTTGTTTTGAGTAGAAAACTTTTGTATAGATTTTTTGAGACCACTATGTCTGTAGAACATGCTACTTGGCATGAGCAGAAGCAGCAGCTGACATTTTCATGGGATTTGTCTCCAATCCTGGTTCCCAAGGGAGACTACTCTGTCACCTTGGTGGGCAGATAACTTTCAGCATTTAAGATAAAAAGTTTTGGTGGCGCTCACCAGTTTTTATATACTTTTGAGAGAGTGATGTATGTAAGGTGAAGTTGTTTGCATTTTTAACATGCATAGTGGAGAGAATGTTGGCATACCTATATACTACTTTCATGTAATGTGGCTGAAATGTTTTTGGATATTGTACTTTTGAAAATTTTAAATGATCTTAGGTTACTGCTAACTAAAATGACTGCTTATTTGTGCTCCAAAAATGAACCTGAATTTGTCTAAAGTACACTATTCTTGGCAGCTATTAAAATACAGAAAATGAATTTTTCCAAACTAGACAATACCAGCTTCTAAAAGTGCAATGAATGAATTACCAAATACATAAAATGTAAAAAAAGTTATCGGCTCTATTTTTTACAATTTACCTCTGAAGTTCGAGAAGTCAAAATGAGCAAGTAGAGCTAGCACTTTTTTGAAAGGTGCACATCTGGAGTAAGGTCAAGCTGTATACACTCTAACACATATTACTCCCATCAATCATACATCAAAATAAAGGGAATGAAAGGTTCTTTGAACAATACCTAAGATATACAAAGTCTCTTTTAAATAGCCAGTATAACTAGTGAGGAAACCCGGGTAAACTCTTTTTCTTTAAAATTCTAACTCTATGCTAAATACGAAACTGTAGAGCGCCACCTTTAATTTGGGAGGGCAGGATTTGCGAGGTAGCAGAAGTTCTCTTAAGGCATTATGATTGGGTATTATATTTGAAGAAGCAAAGGGTACTACTTATTAAAAAACATATATGATGACTTAAATATAGCAGTGTCAAGAGTTAGGCTAATTGTTAATTGTTTATTAATGCAAATATTATTATTAAATTTGTATTTGTAAGATAATCATATAATTAATGACCAATTAAATAGCAAATTATTGTACAAATATAAAATTGAAAATTAAGTTAATGATTGCATATTCATATTAAACTTACAAAATGAACAAATAATAAATAATGCATGTACCCCAAGTGTAACTTGGAAGAGGAATGTCAAAAATCATCTTTTCAATCTGCACCAGCATCACTGCATCACAAGGTCTGATATTTACACTTGCATCAAATGATGTTCCAAGTAGTGTGCTATCCATACAACAAGATACTGCTGTGCAGGTGTCAGGTATGTAACATGAGACTGTATCTGGAAGAGTTGGTAGGCCCTTACCCATAAAGCACTCTGGGGAAAGAAAAAAAAAACGGATTAAATAAAAAAATATTTTTAATTTTCCAAATTTAGTTTTAAGTAGATAGAAAATGGCTGTTCCAAACTAAATAACAGTAAGTGCAAACACTTCAAACCTCATCCAAAAATAAGCATTCTCCCCTCTACTCTGTTTCAATTTGTTTTGTAATGTTCCCTTTCCCAATACAAACTCTTTGAAATCCCAAATTTGGGAACACTAAAGATGATAATTAACTGTTGGCATTTAAATTATCCCCACCCAGGCTGAAAAACTTTGGTTTACCCTCATTTGCAAAATTTTGTACACAACAGAACAGGTCATATTTAGGCACTTATCTACACAAATGAACATTTATGACATCAACTTTTGCATGAAGGTGTTTTGATGAGAAAGACAGAACAGAGCAAGAGACAGATCAGCTAGCTTTTACTTTTTATTACCTTGTATTGTAGTGCAGTTCACCGGTTTATCAGCAACATTTTTCATGCCATGTGCACACTGAAATCCATCTTTTAGGAAACAATGTTTACCCATCATGCCAATTTATTTAATGTCCATAAATTCAATTATTACATACTTGTCAAGTGTATGATGTAGTTGTAGCCATTTATATACAGTCAAGATTTCAATGAAATCCAAACTTAAAGTGACTAACTGCTTCAGCTTTCACTGACCACCATAACATAGGCTAATGATATTATTAAACTATATTTACAATGGATGACTAAAGGTCTGTGTATTTAGGTCATGTCAGGCTGCAATTCAGACTGTAGCATTTAGTTACAGGTTCAGTCTAGCTGAATTTAATAACTTTCAATACTGTAAATTCAAAGCTAATAATTGCTATTGTGTCATTTATGGCATATGGCTTAAATTACCTAAGTAATTTTGGAGGGTTTGCATCTTACTAACTCCTGCATTTCTTTTTCTAATCCCTCAAAGAAAACAATTATAAAGTACAACTTAAAATTCAAATAATTGACATTATTTATCGAATGAAAAGTAAGACAGGCAACAACAACAAACAAACATTAGAAGACTGGCCTCAATATTAAAACATAAGTGACAACTATATCAATCTCAGAACCAGTATGCCATTGACAAAGACCTAGAAGAAGTGGCCCAAGTAAGCTTCTAATTGCTTATATAACTGACATTTACCTGAAAGCCAAATTCACTATCAGTTGGCCAGGAAATCTCAGGTCTGTAGGATGCTTTGTCTAAAAATATATACATTGTAACTCCAATGCTGTTGCTAGCAAGTGTTATGAAAATAATTTTGTCAATGCTTCTCAAATTGTTTTAGGGGTATAATTCATTCTGATTTAACGGCACATCAGCATCATTTATCAAATAATTTTTTCTATATTGCTTTCAGTCAAAGTTAATCAAAAAATTTTAAATTTATGAGCTAAAGTTGTCTAAATTTCAAACAGCAGCCATGATTCAGCTTCATTTACATAAACTTGAAAGTTCTTTATGTTAAAATCATTTGGTCAAATTCATTTGAGTAGTTTTAACAGAGAATCACTTTTATGTTTTTTCTATTTTGTTCTACTGTTAGAACCATATTTGATGGTCAATTGGCATCATTTGTTCAAAAATGCTCTTTATGCCAGAATGCTTTCTGTCAAGCTTGATCTTATCTGAAGGTGGTTTGGTAAAACTGGTGCAAACTATAAAGCCCTGCATATCAAAATACTTTCAAATTTTATGAAAAGGATTCTTTAAAATATTTTTAATAGTTTTGGTAACTGAGGCTATATCTGTTGGTCAATCCACATCATTTCCATAAAACTCAAAATACTGTAGACAATAATATTTCCTGTCAAATTTAATACAATTCTGTTAGCAGTGTTTGAAAAAGTCATTGAAAGGTTAAATTTTCTACTTTTAATAACAGTATCCATCCTTGAAGGCAGAGTGGTGCTATTTTTCAAGCTTGTAAGACATATATAGCACAATACTTTCTGTCAAATTTTATCAAATTCTGTTCAGTATCATCATTTTTAGCAATGGTAAAAAGTATAATAGCAGATCTCCATTGTTGGTATAAATTACATTTGCTTTGACTAATCCAGTGGCCTAGTGGTTAGAGCATCTACCTCGGATGCAGGAGGCCATGGGTTTGATCCCCAGCCGAGTCATACGAAAGACTTACAAAAATGGTATTAACACCTGCTTCTCTTAGTGATCAGCATTAAGAAGTTAGGTTTAAGACTATTTGGCCTGGTGTCAGGATAATGTGACTGGGTAGGACATGATGTTACATGATGCACCAGTGCTAGAAATCACTATAAACTGTTACACTGCTGACATTGTATCGATATGACTGAAAAATTGTTAAAACTATGTTAAAAATCCAAATCACACACACACACAATTTGTTTTAGGAAATTATAATATTCCAAAAATACTTATCCCATAACTTTAGTAATATGATTACTCTCTGCTAACTCTGAATCCAGCCATAGCTGAAAGATGAAGCATGTCTTTTCAAATGTCTATAAAGATGAAGAAAAGCAAAGATTAACGTGTGAGATGACCAGTTTAAGCATAAGGAAACATTTAACAGGAAGCTAATATTTTGGGGAAGGATGGAAGGGATTTTTGGGTATGTAGTTTTGAAGAAATATAATTTACTAAAAATTACTTTTCCCATCAAATTTATTATCTGATCACATCAACATGAGGAGAATAGGTATGAGGAGGAAATGCTTAAGTATCCAATTTATGTATGCACCACATTATGACAGCATGATGACTGCACCACATTATGACAGCATGATGACTGCACCACATTATGACAGCATGATGACTGCACTAATAAAAGAATGAACTTTTACCTATCTGCTGAACCAAAGACAATGTGTATATACACATACAAGGTAAATTCCTGTGGGATCCCACACTGGGCATTGCCTCAAATTCAAAGGTTTCACAGCTGAATCTATCAAAAAATGCTAGATTATGTGCTGTTATACACAGGAATGATAACTATCTACCAGTAGCCATGAGAGATTCAGCTCTTTAGTTTGCAAGGCCCACAAATAAAAATTTCAGAAATCACACAAATTTCATGATCTGAAATTTTTGTGAGTAAAAGCACTAAAGAAAAGAAAGTCATCAGGGGTAGACAATATACCAGCAGAACTGGTTTAAGCAGGAGGAACCTCGATGATAGATGTCCTCAAAACAATCTGCATCAAAATCTGCATTACAGGTGAATGGCCCACCTAATGAACCCAGTCTCTGATCATCACTCTTCCTAAGAATGTGAATCTGCAGCTGTGCCAGAATTACCTAACAATCAGTCTCAGCAGTCACCGAAATCAGGTTATGCTTAATATCATCCTCAACAGACTCAAACCCCAAGCACAGAAAATCATTGTTGAAGAACAGGTTGGTTTAAGGGCAGGATACAGCTCTATAGAAGAGATCTTCAGTCTTAGAATTCTCCATGAAGGCAGTATCAGTGTTGAAGGCAGAACAATCACCTACCTGTGTTCGGCCAATCATGTCAAAAGCTTAGCAGGAGATGAACAGGAACTGGAAACCTTAGTGAACCATTTCAATCAAGCATCACTAATGTATGGGATGGAGATCTGTGCTGAAAAAAAACCAAGCTAATAACAAACAACTTGAGTGACATCCAAAAAGGAAATAAGAATGAATGGATAGAAGCTGGGCACAGTGACAAGTGCTTCAAGAAGCTAGGTGATATTGTCTCTGATGAAGGTTCAAAACCTGAAGTTCTGTCCAGAATTGCACAGACAACAGCTGCACTGGCTAGGTTAAGACCCATTTGGAAAGACAACGTCAGACCAGGATCCAAGATAAAGTTTATGTTCTCCCTTGTCATGCCCATATTCTTGATCTGTGTGTAAAAGGTTGCTGTTATTGTTTGATAATTTATATACTGTGGCTGATATTTATACACTGTACATGTCAAAACTTTATTTGATTTAAGCTCATGGCTAACCAAAATCACTACTCCCATGTGCTTGAAAAATCAGCCTGAGTTAGTAAAGTTTACTGTTTTTAGTAGTTATTAAAATAGGGAAAACAAATTTTTCCTGAGTGGGCAAAACCAACTTCTGAAAGCAAAATAAGTGATCTACAAAATACTTAAACATGAAAGCAAGTTATCAGCTCATTTGTTTACAATTTTACCTTTAAATCCAGGAAGTGAAAATGGTCAAGTGGAGCTAGCAGTTTTTATTACACCCATCAAAACATCATACATCAAAAATAAAGAGAATTAAAAATTATTTTAATAAAACCAAAAAAGATATGTCTTTTTTAAATACCCAGAATAACCAGTGAGGAAATCCTGGGAGAATTTTTCTTTAACAATCGAACCCTATGCAAAATACAAAACTGAAGAGTGCCACCATGCTCAGTCCAGTTAGTTGGGCAGTCTGCTGAATATTTGACAATGTTGCTGTAGGGACTTTTAAGATAACTGGCTGGCTTGACAGTCTGAGATGACAAAATTTTGACTACCAAAAACCACATGCTAATTGTCAAGATGGCTGGAATGGATGGTTGGCAGCCAGGACAGCATTCTGGGGATGCAATATGACTCATGGGCTGGACTGGCAGACAAAGTCCAAAGGTAATCACAAATGTCTCCAGGCTTCAAGGTTTCCATTTCTATGGATGAGTGGTGATAGCAACTTACACACAGTAGGCTGCCGATTTATGTTTTCATCCAACTTGCTTGTCAACATTCTAAGTGACACTCACTTGGTCTTATATACCAAAAAGTTTTGACAAGAAAACCACCATTGGCATTATGGAAGGATTACAAACCAGACATACATTTGTATTCATGGGAAAACAGTCATCATTTACTTGTTTATTTCCTTTAAATCCTGGATGGACACTTGCAAATACCAACCTTTCTGACTTCACAAGTGTCACCATCTAAGGAAAAGACATAAATATGAAACCTAAGTGAGAAAAACTGAGCTCAGTACAAAGGTAAGCACAAGTCAGTGTTTTCTCTGATGGCTCTAATACTTGTCATGCAGCAACAACATATAAACATCTATATTTGTCTTTAGGAGCTGAAGAATATTGGTTCATTCTCTCAGTGAAAATTGAATCAGCAGAACATGGTTTTACAAGGTCACAGCAGGGCTGTGAAACTCTCTGACACAATGTTATGAATAATGACTGGGTAATGTTTCTTCAACAGCAACTGAAGAAGTCCAGCAAAGAATGGGGTTTTTCAATATAAGTTGGGATGCTAGGTACAACCCTGCAGATTTCATAGTTTAATGACACGATATATAGATGACAATATAATAAAAAGTTGCGATTCTTAGTGTCTACGAATATAACATATATGCAAGCCCTAACTAAATGTTGATACCAAATGGACAGATAGACAGCAAGATGGATGGGCATTAGTCAATCATAAGCCAGAACTGCTTTGCAATCTGGCCAAATAACATTTCATCAAGAGAATAAGTGGATGAACTTACTGTTATTCCATCCATTGGATGAGGGCAGAAACATTGTGTTTTGCCTACTGCAAGGAGCTTCAGTCAGATATTCAGCAATGCCAAGCTCCTCAAAAAGATGTGCCAAGTGGAATTTGCTGGGAGGTGTTCCATGGGTCAAGCCTCTATCCTTTTCCCAGACCAAATATGAAAAGTCTGAAGATACACATTTTACACAAAAGGAACAACTCTGTGAACAACATAACAACCAAACTGTTTCTTTACAAATTACATTTCACTGGTCAATAGCTAACCATTATATCTTTTGAATAATTCTTTTTTAATATATATATATATATATATATATATATATATATATGGATGGATCATCAAATAATAATGTAAAATTAAACAAGGGATTACAGTTTAAAATTGACATTAATTTACAATGAGATAAATATATATATATATATATATATATATATATATATATATATATATATAGAGAGAGAGAGAGAGAGAGAGAGAGAGAGAGAGAGCATGCAAATAGGCCTATATCTTGCATAAATAGATTGACCCAAGTCTCTGCATCAATTCCATCAATGATGCTTCTACACATTATGAGTGACATGATATCAGTTGAATGTTGAAAACTTAGAATTCTGCTACCTTACACAACAGTTAGCATTTTATCAACCTAAATTGTTTAACCAAGTCTTCTTTCTTGCCAAAGGGGAAGATATTCACAAAGTGTTTGGTCCAGGACTCTGATTTATTATTGTATGAAAACCACTTTTGTTATTTTAGTCACACCATCCTTAAACTTGAATACCATCAAATTAAAAGTCTTCACCAACTTTAGTAACTATAGATGGTGGGGGACTTGTGCTATTTTGCGAAAATGAAATTGCTTTGGATCAATGGATGAATGGACATCACAATTTATGTGCTTCATTTTAGGACAGATGTTCAAACATTGCTGTATTATTCTAAAAATTAAACATCTAATCAATTCACAACACAGAGAGCATGCAAAATTCAGTTACTCCAAGTTATATAGATTTTACACGATTGCCCTAAATGGATCTGGGATGGATATGCAGATAATGAACAGCAAGTAAACAATATATTTCCTTCTGCTATGACAGATTGGGTTCAGCTTGTCTTACTTTTATTAATGAAAGGTGGGTCTGTTACACATGGCTGCTTTGGTAGTTCTGTATCATTGAATACAACTGCATTGACTTCACATGGACCAATGGCATCATAACAAACTGACAGGCTCATCTGCATTAGATACTTCCTTTCTATTTCCAGATGAAATATACTGAAACTACAGTAAAAAATATATTGTATCTTGTGGGTGAGAGACTAAGAGAGAGATAGTGTATGTGTGTACATGTATATGTGTATATGTTTGATAATTAAAATTAAATTGATTCAAGATCATTGATAATAAAATAATCAACTTAATTATCACTTTAACAAAAATGTGCAAAATATGTTTCTTTGTCATAATTATAGTTTAAAGAAAGCAGTTTTAAATGAAGGCTTAATTGTATTATTTACTATAAAAAATTATACTCACTCCATTTTTATCATTCCATCTAGGTCAATTGTTTCTCTTTTACCTGTCATAATAAAATGCAGCATTTAATATAGAGATATATGGATTTGTAGGGTGACATAGATGAAAG